GCCACGTATCCCCAAGCAGACAGCTCATTACAGACGTGTCAAACAGAAGAAAGCGGCTGGAAAAATGACATTAGATTTTACTTTTCTCAGACTAATCCTAATCTGCCAAATCCCACTCCTGAATCTGACGCACCAGCCTCAAACAACTCTCATCCATCACCATTAGATGAGCCCAATCTTGCACCACTTCCAGCTATCCCCAAAGACACAGATATCTCAAATGAAATTAACTCAAATAAGCAAAAGCAATACCAGAATTGGATTCATGAAAAAGTTATACAATACACAACATCAAAACCCAAGAGTAAAAAGATAGCACCATCTCAATCAATTGCTATTCAGGAGCGCTGGAATGAACTCGAGATGGCTCTAAATCAAACCATAATCTATTATGAAGAACAGCAGAAGAAAAACGCCTCCTTTCAAATTCCAAAATCTGAGCTCGGAGAGATACAAGAATTCAACTCCTGACGCCGAGAATTGGAGCTTGCTGGACTTCCTTCACCGGGCACCACTGCTTCAATGATGACAGCTCAGTCTGCAATTTGACGGGAGGCAATCCGGAAAGATCTGGCAGCACAACTGTCAAGTGGACTTGGCTGGGCTCGCCATATACGACTTCAAGCTCATAAAATTCTTACTTTTAAGAAATTGATCAAATCTAACCAGGGTGTTTCATCACCACATTCTTGTATGCTACATGACAAGAGGGTTTCTCAAGCCATCATGTCTTGGGCCTCTTTGCTAAAGCCAGGATATGTATGTCCAACTTTCATTCTAAAGAGTCATCTGATCACTGACAGTGATGATATTGACCTTTTCCCTGTTTGTGTATATTTCAGGTAACCCCTCAGATATTTCATGACCACATCAATACTAACATTGTACCTCAGTTGGACTTCACCACAACCGTCTCGCAGGTCACTGCTTATAAGTGGATGCGCAAGCTGGGATTCCAATCACAGATATATCACAAGTCACTCTATTTTGACGGACACAAAAGACCCGATGTGGTCATATATCAAAAGGAATTCTGTGCCCAGGTCACCCAACTTCGACAGTGCTTGGTTTTATATGAGGGACAAAATCTGGGGATTGGAATTCAACCAAATCCTGAGAAACTCAGTGATCAACGCCCTACTGTTTTTGTATATCACGATGAATCAACAGTCCACGCAAATGAACCTCCTTGTCTCTCATGGCTCCTCGCTTCAACAACCAAATTTTGATCCAAGAGTGCAGGTCAATTAATTCACATATCAGATTTCATCCTTGAAACAACTGGCCAACTTACGCTTACTCCAGAACTACAAGAAAAGTTCAAACTTTTTGTAGATGATGCAGCCACTGTCATCTACCCAAGTGGAGGACCTATCCTGAATCACAAGGTGTCTTTGTTTTTGATTGCTCAGCTGCTCACGAGGCCTTTGGACCAAATGCTCTTTGTCTGAACAATATGAATCTTGGAAGTGCACGTAAACAGAACATATTCCGCAATACTTTCATCCCAACTGACGATCTCAACATCCCAGAGGAGCTTTGAGGCCTACCACAGTCCATGGTCTTCCCACCCGACTATCTTGATCAAACTCTGGCAGGAAAAGCCAAAGGTGTCCAAGTTGTTCTTGAAGAACAAGGCTTATGGAGTCTCTACAAAAGCAAAGTAAAAGGGAAAGACAGTCTTCAAATGTCTAAACTGTAAAAAATCAGGTGTGCCTCAAGATGCAAAGGATCAAGCGTATTGGTTGATGAAAGAAGCCAAAGAAGCCAGCTTCTTCATCACTGAACCTTCAGATGAATCAAGGCCAAATAAACAGGCTGATCCCATGTGTTGCGCTTACAAGATACTCAGCAATCAGTCGGATTTTAAAGATGAAAAGCCACTCTTACAGAAGATCATTGAGGACGCTGGGCACATGTGCATCTTTCTCCCCAAATTCCACTGTGAACTCAACCTGATCAAGTTATTTTGGTCATACACTAAGGGTGGTGAGTACACTTTGTTGTTTTGTTTCCATACAGATTTTTTTAGCTGACGTATCTTCTATTGAATCAGAGTATTGTAAGCATAGTTGTTCCTATACGCGATTTGAAGATGCAAAAAAGGGTTTTGAGGTCGCTTGCAAGAGCTGCCCTCTATTGACTATTTGGAAGTATTTCCGCAAAATCAATTGTCAGTGGTCAGCATATGAGTGAGTGGTCTCCTTATCTCTATCCCATCTTTTGATTACCTTTTTATCTTTAATTGAGAGCTTTATCTTGAACAGGCAAGGCTGTGTTGGTCCTGATGCTGCGAATGTTGTCAAAAAGTACTTGTCACATTGCTACACCCCACAAAATGCTGCAATGAGAATCAATATCATTTCAACCTACCATTGATTACCTGATAACCAATACACTTCTGCTTTCTTGGTAATCCATCATTATTCTGATAGATCAATTCCTTGATCAATCAAACACACTGACTTATATTCAATTTAATCACTAATATAGCCACTTCCTCCTAGAAAATTTCACAACACTTTGATCACTTGATCAAAATCAGCTAGAAAGTTGACTGGTCACTCATCAAATTATTCTGGAGAAAGATGATCAGTCAAAGATCAATATGTAAAATCATTATTAAAAGTATCAAAACAATTGAATGAAATCTTTAGTATTGGAAATCAAACTCATTCAAGCATTACAAGTATTACAAGTACAAATGAAGAATAAGAAATCTTGCGGGGAATTTCAAAAATCAAACAATTACTTCAATTTGAACTAATTCATTTGAAAGATTCCCATTCCGAATTGAGCTATTGTTAGTTTAAAAGATAATTCTCATTAAGAAAATCACAACTTACAACTTTACTTAGCAGAAGATCAAGAGAATCTAAATCAAGCTAAGCAAGTTTACATGGATCAAGCAACTATGATTTATGATTCAGATTGAAGATTTGATCAAACAAGACTTATTAATCTGAGATTTTAACCAAGTTGGACACCATACAAGCAGATCATAGTTGTGACCAGCTCAAGATCTTTGAACGTTCAATGACAAATTTAATCAGTCTGAATTGTAGGGAAGAAATTGAAAGATTTGCAATCAGCATTGGATTTATAACTATAAACCCAGACTATAGCTGCCAATCATTCACCTACTGGAGATCATCTTGATGCTCAATCAACTCCAAACTCTCCAGGATGACAATACCCAAGATGAGATATGCTGAGCACAAAGCTCAGCCACAAGTCCTTGAGTGTTAGGCCGTAAGTGCTAGGCTACCTGCTACCGTAGGCCAGCTATGTGCTTAATACCTAGCTAAGTACCTAGCTAGGTACATAAGGCCTAGGTCCAAAAATCTGAAACCCCCATAAATAAAAACATATTTCACAACCCCAGGACCATATTTCCAGCTTCATTCAGATAATGCCTTTTCACTGGTCTGGGTGCCAGTCCTGAACATTCAAGTTCAGTGCCGCGTCTTTGACCCAAAAGGAGAAATTTCAATTTTGCAGGGCAGGTCGGAACATGTACTCGGGTTTACCCACTGTAGTTATAAAGAACA